TAAACTGGTATTAATTGTTTTAATTGTAATTAATAAGTAACAATAATTTGTATAATATACATTATAATAAATTGTAAATATTTTTATGTTTATTAAAATAAAATGCCTAGTTGTAATAAATAAGACTTATTTATTAATTGTTGATTGTGATATAATATAATATGTATTATGTATTATACATAGGTACATATTATGTATTTATATTTTGTATTTATGACATAAAAAGTTTGCTTCCATTACAAATTATTTTGTACAAGCATCTCAATAAATTTAGAAATGTTAACAAAACAAAAATGGTAAGCTCACCTACTAGAATATTTCAGTACTAACAAACAAGGCAAAGTATCAGTAACAAAATGATTTGCTGTAGATGAATCGTAATGTGTACATAAAACAAAATGTATATTAATCGTTACAAACTTTTTCTGTTATCTCAAAAAATAGTAGGATGATATTCTGTAGTATTAAATTCATGTTTTGTATATATTACGGAATGAATTCAGTCACCTATACATAATTTAAGTTGTCAATACGGAATCAAGAATAGTACTGATAACAACATAATATGGTTCATCTAACCATTTACAGTCAACAAAATTACATTTGTGTACACAACTAATAGTTATGTTGTCACTGAGGCAACTAAATTTCATAGTTATTGTTACCATATTTTGGTTCCAATAACTACACTTTTTTTCAGTATATATATATATATATATACCCACCTAGGTTAAATATTTACTCCCGGTCACCTTTTCTCAAAGAGGGACATTTTAAGTGCCAAATGTCAATACACAATCATTGTCAAATCTTGGATTTTAAGTCTATAGTGATAGATTAAGATGGCGTTAAACCAGCATATATTGTCTCTAAGATTGAACAATTTCAAAAATAGTGAATTTTTAAAAAATGAATGTAAAATATGCATCACAATAATTTGTTGAAAATATAATTTTTTAATTACAGACTCTGCCCTTTAAATTATAAACTAAGGCTCAGGAGTTAAAAAAGCTGAACAATTGAAAAAATTCTAAAACATGCAAGAATAATGTCAAATATCCAAAAAAAAATTAAATAAATTCACAACAATTCAAATAAACCATTTTATGTTGTTATTAATTTGCACTAAAAGAAATGTAAAATATGATAAAATAAATTTATAATATTTAAAAAATTGTTTGTATTTTGACATTTTATTGAACTCAAAAATTGTTCTATTTGAAAAGATAGTAGATACTAGATACATCAGAATATTAGTGTGATAGAGACAATAACCATAAATATCTACATTAAATAATGTTGAGTTTTATATTCAATAGCATTATTAAAATACACAGCTTAAGAAAGAATATAATGACATTTAAAAAAAATATATTAAATATGCATAATTTGGGTATGAATACAAAGAAATGAGCACTTTTTCCCTAAAATGTATGAAATATACAACATTTTAACTTCTGTAAGCTATTTACTAAAACACTGAGTTTTGATAAGAGATTCAACATTTATGAATGTTATTTTTATTTATATTTAAATCTTGAACGACCAGAGCCGTTGTTCACACAACAAATATGTTAAAAAGGACTGCTCTTGTTGTCAGGACAGACGAGTGCTGGCTGAACATTTATAATCAAACTCAGTATAGTCAACACTACAACTATATTTTCATAATAATATCTCTAAAACTTTTAATAAGTTACATGATACCTATATTTAAAAATATGGCACTACCTGGTAAAAGTTTTTTTTGTTTATCCAGTTGATTGGCATTGGGTTGTTTGGATTCAAATCACGAATAAATAAAACAAATTATAATGTCCAATAATGATTTTAATTAAGTAACTTAAAATTTTAACTTGAGTTTCATCAATCATAATAAATTATAATACAATTTCAGAATTTATTAAAAATAACTTAGTCTATATAACATGGACAATAACTGCATGTATTGGAGATATATTGAAAATACCCTAAAAATTGTTGATGATTTTAGAATCTGTCTTGAAACTGGAATAATGAATACAATTATTTGTCCATTTTTTAAATTACTATAATAGTAACATAGATATATTTCATTAAAAAAAAATATTCCAGTGATTATTTAATGACAGAGATATGGTGCAGCACAATGATAAAGGATCCTTGTAACTATTTGTAGTTATAACTAATTCATCTACACTTAAGACAACAGCAGGTGGTATGCTAGGACACCACTTAGTAAGGCAATGCAACAACAAACCGCCACTCACTCAACACTCAATTGTTGTTGGTGGAATCACCCTATTTTCCTTGGCCCCAGTCCTAATTATCCTAGGCCCAGCATATCCTAAGGATGGCCATAATAGACTACAACATATAGATAAACTGATAGTTCTATATGTTTTATAAATATATATTTCGGGTAGAGGTCTTAAGATCTTATCTGAAATTCAAACAGCTAATATTAAATTAATTTAACAATGGTTTCTCGGGTGAATCATCACAACTGCAGGCTCATTATAATAAATCTAAAAGACTTATTTATTAGTTTATTATTATATAATATATCCATGTATATTATTTACACACCATATGGTCATATACATATAGAAATTAAACATCAGAGCAATTATATTTTTTGATATTACCTATAATACCAATAATACTAATATATTATATGCAGTACCTATAGAGATTAAAAATATTATTTTATTTTATGAATAATAAATCTAAAATAAAAATACAATAGGTAGAAACTTCTTAAAATGGTTTCTTCATAAAATGGATATCTCTTTGCGGAGGAAAATAACAACAGTCGTGTATGATCTTTACTCCTAAAATTTAAGTCAATATAACGGAAAACTCTTTTATAACGAACAAATCAGTTGGCACGTAGTGATTTGGTTAAAAGGAAGTTTTACTATATTAATTGCAAGATTAAATTCATTGTAAGTGGCTTATAAAGGAACTTAAAATATGTGCTCACAAGTTTACATACTTTTTATTGTTTCTAATTCTGAGAACTATAAATGTACACTATATACTTAAGAGTTAAACTAATTAAACTTACCTAATATTTTCAAAGTTTAGGTTCTTTTAATATAGCAATAATCATTTCAATTTTTCCATCAGATGATTTAGTTTCAACAGATGTATTAGCATTTAATTTGTACAGACAATTGGCCTCTGAAATATCATAAATATAATTTAAAAGTCATAACTAGTAGGCATAATACAAATGAGGAATAAAGGAATCATAAGCTATACCTACCTACCTAGAGTCTATTCTTTATAGTTTATAATATATTATTATTGTAAGTTTAATCAAATACTGAAGTATACATAATTGCATAACATGGCGTGCAAGTTCAATTAAAAACCAATTAATTTAACACAATCGAAATTAAAATTAAATTAAACATTTATTTAAAAAATGATAGTTGATGACGAATTAAAAAAATTTTGAATTTCAGAGCATTTACTTGATAAGAACGGTAAGATAAGTTACATGTGCGAGCGTAATAAATCGGAATGAAACAACCAACACGGAATTGGTTATCGCAATAGATTTACTGATATCATAATCGATAATAATTGAATTATTATAATTCTATATTTTAATGTCTACGGCACGAATAATTAAGATATTTGCTACTATCTGATTGAGTTTCGTAGTGGTTATGCCAGGCCGGCATCAAAATAATAATAACAACAATAAAAATAATAATAATAAATAATGATCCAACCCTGGACATGATAATGCATGTTATGTCGGAGAGTTTGGTCATTGTGGATTTCAGTTGTCCAGAGCGCTCGCGTAGCTCGTTTCCATAGCACTATAGCAGTATCGCACCGATCCAACCGTACCCGTCACCAAAGACAACACACGCCATACGCTCCATCAAGCACGAAGCGAGAACAGCGAGTCCAGCGCATAGATAATAAAGATATGGATAGGCCACGCCTATGTTAAATACATTTGAGGCCGCGTTCCCGGAGGGGAAGGCAATTGAGGCTCCTTTATATTGATAGTCGATACTCAATATAGGTATACTTTATTTGGCCTCAATTGTTCCCCTCGAAGACCGCTGATAAGACCAATATGTCCTATCCATATCTTTATTATCTATGGTCCAGCGTGACTGGACGGAATTGCGGGGCGCGCGCCTCGGTCGACCATAATCGGACGGCGACACACAAGACACAACAATTCCCATCTTCCGTCCCTCTCGTCTCGCACCATCAACAAATAAAAGTGTTGGTACAAAAGTTGGTACAAAAGTGTCGTATACAACGTTCCTGTGCAGTGTGCGTGCGTGCGAACGAACGTGCTCGCATGCACCACTTTGACGCCATGCTGAAGTAGCTATATCCGCTCCTCGAATTTTAAGACAGAGGTGTCCAACCCACGGCCCGTGGTAGATTTTGATGCGACCCTCACTTCAATTTAAAAACTATGAATTAATTGTGTTTAGTATATTAATATTACGAGGAAAAATTTATTTTAAGAATATAAAACATCAAATAAACTGTAAAGGCCGATGCACGCGTCCGTGTTTTAACCATTGCTTAAGGATTGCCACAACTTCAATCGATCCAGATATTGATTAATTTCTTTCACATAAAAAGCAATTCCAAATTTCACATTAAATAAAACGAATGACTTTTAACTTTTTTAAACTAAAACTTTTTTTTTTATTATAAATATATATATATATATTTTTCTGTGTACTTATAATTAAATATTAATACTTGTAAAAATATTTCTGCTTATTATTCGCTATTGTAAAATTATAAAAAAATGTATTGCTGTATTATAGAATATAATTTAATCATTCAATTTGAATGTATTATTATTAAAAAAAAGTATGTGGTCAACAACAACGTATACCTATATGATGTGGCCCAGTCTTCACAAAAGGTTGGACACCCCTGAATTAAGATATACCCACGATGTACTATCTTAACTCGTGTAGAGCTCTAGTGCTAGTGCCTAAGACGTTACGGCGTTAAGATCCCGCCATTACTGTTCTACGTTATCAGTAATCCTTTGTTCCTCGGTGTTTCTACCGGTGCGTCGATTTTTATGTTTGTCTACGTTTACGTGAGCCGTTTTTGGTAACAACAATTAAAACGAGTCACTGGTCAACTCACTTAATTAAGTAATAAATAATAATTAGTAACGCACAACGAGTGACGAGAACGACCACCATTTCCGCCGCATTTCACTTCTCGAACACCCTTCAACTACAACTGTCACGCATCGTAATCATCAGCGTAAGTACACTGAGCTCGGGTATATTATCGTCGTCACTAACTGAGGTTTTATTTCATCCACAGGGAACAGCGCAGAAAAAAATATGGATCAAGTAAAACAAATGTTGGAACCCGGGCGCCAGTTTTCCAAAGATTCGATTAGACTGGTTAAAAGATGCACTAAACCTGACCGGAAAGGTAAACGTAATTTTTATTCCATTTGAGAAGACGCTGCTTTGTATTTGTTGTTTCCGTCCTACAACATCGCAAATTTCCATTCACTAGTTTCAATAGTGTGCTGTTAGTTTTGATATTAGAGAGAATTGACACTATTGCTATGTACTGACGTCCCGCCGTATACAAATGTAATTGAGATAGGCATGGGAACATCATGTACGGATTCCTCGGGGAAGGCTAGGCCAACAATAAAATAATTAATGTAGAAATTCTGAGAATTGGACAAGGGAAATTGTGTTGCGGAATACATGTGAATAGAATACGCTAAATCATAATCGATAAAAGAAAATGTCACCCAAGACTACAACAAATAATCAATTGTAGATATTGACAGTTTAAAAAACAGTGTTATAATAGCTATGTTATTAAAATATTATAACAGTAGAAACTTAGCTCTTTTATATCGATAACATAGCGACACGAGATATCGCAATTCTAACCATAAGAGCGTGGGACGATAGCATTTCCTGGACGTTAAACGCACACAAGCGATAGTAAACGGGGTCAACACTATCTTGTCGTTAGGAGAGGAGTAGTGGAGATTAGACCTATAAGTGACCCATCCATCAAATATTCAAACATGATTTGTCAGAGCAAAGTACAAACACCTTCACGCCAGAAGACTCTGAAATCATTTCAACTAGGTACACAAAATATTCAAACAGTTTTTAAATCCATAATAAAGTCTATGTTAATAATTATAAAATTGACTCAAATGTATTACAATTTGTCGTCCATCACCCTTGTACATTTAGCATCTGTACACGAGATCACTACACTATGGAAACTAGTAATCTGAAATTTGCTATGTCGTTGTGTAATTTGATTTTGCTTTGCAGAGTTCAAGAAAATCGCAATTGCTACGGCCATTGGTTTTTGCGTTATGGGTTTCATTGGTTTCTTTGTAAAACTTATTCACATACCAATCAACAACATCATTGTGTAAGTACTACTACTACTACTTTAAATAATTGTTAACAGTGGTTTCATGTAGAACTACTGGTTTTCTATTAAAAAAATTGAAAAAAAAAAACCAGAAATAATTTATTATTCTTCTTTCTATAGTTTCATTTATTTGGATATGAGTACATTCTATTTCTAGAGTATTTAGTAGTAAATGTTACAAGCTCGTAGATGACTGCATTGTGTTGATCCGTCTTACAAATGTACAAAGCTAATTTGCATTTAGCAGAATCTATTTTGTGTCGTTTCTTTTAATATTACTGTGTTAATATTTAATTGATCTATTATCAGGTTTGAAAGGAAGAATATTATCCATATTCTCTCATTGTTTTTTAATTTTAATTTTAAAGCAAGTTATAAATAAGTATGTGAAATATTAAATGTTTAAAATGCTAGTAATTTGCTTTAAAATTAAAATGGCAACAAAATCCAAAGAGAGATCACAAATAATATTTATATTTTTAAATTTGATAGGTGAATTTACTTTAATATTAAAACTAACAATATAAACTGAATTCCATTGATTTCAATTCATTATGTTAAAAATACACATGCTTAGATTACATCATCTTAATATGTAATATTATGTGTTTTTTGTTTATATTTATTAGTAAGTTCAAAAAAAAAATGCCATTCCGTTTAATCTGGATAGAATCTGGTCCCATCTAGTCCTGATTAGCTAGACTCTACTGTAAAAACAAACGTCAATATGAGAAAGGTTCCTATTAAGTGAATGTCAGCACACTGTTTATTTTCTCTCTCTAGCACACTTACTAGTCGAAATCCGTCTAGGCTGAATCATTTTTTTTTAATTACAAAAACCTATAGAGAATAATATTTTTGAGGGTATGACATCAATTTGTCTAAATATTGTCTCAAAACAATTTAAACATCATTTAAATTTACAATTTTTTTTTTTTTATTTAAAGAATGATTTAGAAATTCATTATGTCATACACTCAAAAATATTAAGTATTCTCCATAATTGTTGTAAAATGTGATTTTATTTAAAAAAACAAGTTTAGATGAAAACGTTTTTTTTTTTAAATTAAATATCTGTTCATTATAAACGAGTTAAAATTATAATTCAACTAACTACAATTGAATAATAATTGGGCTGAATACTGAGAAAAGTTCAGTATAGTTTTATTTAAATAAGTGTATGTTAAACTAACAAATTTAATATAAATAAATATTTATTTAATTTAATTAAATTTATCAAACGTGTAGTATAATAATATAGTTATTGTTGCTAAAGATTTTTTAAGTATAAATTATATTTCATTAATCTTTTATTTTTCAACTAAATTTGTTTTTATTTTTTACAGGGTATCATGAAGTGGAAGCTAATCAACTTCTTCATTTCTTGAAAACACTGTATCTTGATAAAAAGAATGTATGTCTTCATAATATTTTGTTTTTATACTGTGTATTAAATATTTGTGAACATTATTTGTGTTTTTCTTATTTATTTTAATACATAACATAGATGGGCTCAGCCTTTTTTTGTTGGGTATGCCTGTGTTTAAAAAAATACCTAGCTCAGTACAATAGAGCATGATGTCATGAATCATAATGCAAAATCTACACAGATATATAATACATATTAAAAATATCAACTTAATATATGTACAAGTAAAACATTTAAATAAAGTATTAACTTTTTACTATATTAAATACATTTAACATAGAAATTAAATTCTATTAAAGATTCTAATCTTTGGTCAAGAAAATGCAGATTCTTAAAATCATCAATTACATCTTCAGAATTTATATGGGATGCTAATTTTTATTTAATAAAAATCATCATCGTCGTGTCTAATTTTTCTTGTTCCTTTGGGTTTCTTAATTTTCTTTTCACCAAACTGGGTTAAGAAAAATGTCTTTTGCATGAACAGCTAGTAACTATAATTGTCACAAAAAGTTGCAAAAGTCTTATTAATTTTTACTTGTTGATAAATTTATCAACCATTCAATGTTTTATGCGTTTGCAACAAAATCTTGCATAGAACGTAAAAGTCTTCTCATTTTCTAATTGTTGCTTTTAAGTGCAAACTTTTGAGATAGAAAATCAATATCAAAATTGTTTAGCTTTTAGTGGTATTAAACAACCTACTGCACTAATAACCCTTAGGGTTTCTCGGTTGAAACTATTTTCAAAATTATCTCTTCAACTATTATCCTAAGTTATCAAAATAATTTATTATTTATATTATTGACGATACTGAAATATTGGCCAATGATAAAATTATTATGAAATTGAGTTAATATTTGATATTGTCTCTACACCCAATATTTAAACTGTAATCAAAAACATTTACAACTAAAAACTATGATTAAGATAACGACACGGGGGATGCCGTGTCATACACGGAATCCTCCATAAGCACGCCTATGGCCCATAAAGTTTGTATATTTAAGTATTTCTAAGTCTCAGCGTTCAGTCATATTATGGCTTGTACCTACTGCTGGTTAAGCTTTTAACTGAAGAATGTAACTGAACGCTTAACTTTTAAGGATTTAAAAGGATTCCTTTAATTGAAGGATTAAAACTTAAAAAATAAATTTAGTCATCATTATATGATTGTATTGTAATACTGTGGTTAAAAATAAATAAATTATAAGAACTTCCAATTTTTTTAAAAATAGCCATAAATATAATGAAAATTCAGCCCAATTTTTGTTTGATAATATTGATAACGAAAAATTAGAATTTATTAATTATTGGCAAAGACCTTACAGGGGACGAGGAAGAATTAATCATATAATAAAATATAATGATCATAATTTTAGGAGAAGGTATAGACTTTCTTAGGTTGTTGTTAAATAAGTTTTGGAACTAATAAAGAATGATATATTATTTGTAGAAAATGAATGGTGAGTTTGGATAAATAAAAAAAAAATTGTTTCTTTAAACAAATGAAATAGAAAAAATGTTTAAGCACTTTCAAATCATTTTGTGTGAAAATAGTAGTTGTTTTTTATGAAATTATAATTTAAGTTTGCAAGTATGAAGTCAGCATTCATTACACATATCGATATATACACCTTAATATTTTTAAATGGTAACCGACTTCATGTTGGGATCAATCAATACTATATTGATTGATGCCAATTCATAATGTTCAGTTTATTAATATGTTTTAATTTCTCTATTTTTCATTATGATTATTAAAGAATTGTGCAATTGCATCGATAGACAAATTATTACCAACACTATTATTCTAAGCAACAGGAAGTTTTCCAAGTGTTAATAATCTTCTGTTTGATTCTGAATAGTTTGGACTGTTAGCATAACTGTGTCACCATAATTGTATGGCAACTACAGATAAACAAGGGTATACATTACAGAGATGTTTCTGCAGAATTGCTAGATTTCAAAGAATTATAGGTGCAATAGATTGTACATAATATATTAGAATTGAAATCCCAGGTTATTGATTATTATTATTAAATTCAAATAAAATAATTTAAATTGTAATACAATACATAGGTAGAAGTCAATGTCTTAGCCGCCGATGAAGCTTGAGTACTAACAGCTCCCCAGTTATTATTTTTCAATACTCTAAGGCTGTTTTTATTTGACCCGTCGTTACTCGCACTGGGTAAATATTAAATAATGACCTAGCTTATTTTTATTTATAATTTTAAGAGTGTTATCAAGAAAATAAATATTGGTACACTTCTATATATAGCCTGGAATAATGTGTTTATAGATAAAATGTATAATGTATAAAATGTAACTGGTTCTGTGTTATATTGCTTTTTTGTTCATTTGCAAGGAGTGCATACAGTGATCGGCATCAGTGTTTGGAAATAATTTACTCTGTGCGAGTAATTCATTCTCAGATTTTATAATATATAAATAATATTTCATTTTTTTTATTTTATGATAATGGCCCAAATAAAATTTGGTTAACCAGTTATTTACATCTAGGTTGGTTTTAATTTATTTTAATATATGAAAAACTACTAGAAAAAAAATACCCCATGTGGGTAAAAGTGACAACGGAAACAATGTGAGTAACGATAGGTTCAATAACCAAAAGTTTTTTTATGAATATATTTAACAGATAGGTAACTGATAGCTTGCTGTTGACGCCATCTCATAATGATAAAGGTATCAATAGATGTCACAGTCCACCATCAACTAGCACAACATATCTTTATTTTGGTAAACAAAAGTTTTGTAAACCAGTAAATTAATTATTAATATAGGACGTTTTGTCCGAAGGAGTTATTAGCCATAGGAAGTATGGTCATCAGCAGGGCTAGGATTTGTATGCAACAGCATGTTTTTTTTGTGACTTCTAATTATTGATTTTGTCAGTAATGTCCACGAATCACCTCATGATGAGATAAATGGTGGTGTTTTTATTTTGCATGTTTTTGCATATTTTGGATAAAATGCATATTAATGCATATATCGAATAAAATGAATAATATTGCATATTT